CTAAGCAGTGTAATTTCTCCAGTGGTGTAGGGCGCAGGCACCCCATGATAATGCGGCATGTCTCATTAAGAGTAGATCAATAGGCACCACTCCGGTGGGAAGGTAATGGTGCTCCATGCAGTCATGCTGGCCACATGGCCTTAGAGGTGTCTACGGACAATGCCTGCTTTCCGGCTTAGAAATTGAGATGAGCACCAGAGTCCCAAAGACTTAAATGTCAGGGGAAACCTTTACCTTTACCTTACCTGTTTTGAAAGTCATTGTTATATTATAGAAACTTTGTTTTTCCCCATAATCACCATTCAGTTTTATACGTTTTGTCATCTGTGGGACGGAGCCCCCGGTGGCGCAGTGGGTTAAACTCCTGTGCCGGCAGGACTGAAGACCGACAGGTCGCAGGTTCAAATCCAGGGAGAGGAGGATGAGTTCCCTCTATCAGCTCCAACTCCTCATACGGAGACATGAGAGAAACCTCCCACAAGGATGATAAAAACATCAAATCATCCAGGCGTCCCCTGGGCAACGTCCTTGCAGACGGCCAATTCTCTCACACCAGAAGCGACTTGCAGTTTCTCAAGTCGCTCCTGACACAACAAAAAAAAAGGCAGTAAGAAGCCAGATCTTGAAAACTGCTAGGCCATTAATCGAGGTGGCAAGTGAGGTCTGTTGGAAACTAGGAAAATGGGATTTTTATTTCTCTGGGTGGGAGAAAGAATTCTTGTCTGCTTGAGGTAGGTGTGAATGTAGCTCTTAAATCATAACAGTAAATAAAGAACAACACACAAAAAGAGGGGAATTCCAGACAAGAAACCATCAGGGGCAGCTAATCACCTCCCAACAAAGAATTCCCCCAGGTAGTAAGAAGCCAGATCTTGAAAACTGCTAGGCCATTAAATGCTAATCAAGGTGGCAAGTGAGTTGCAGAGGAGTTGAATCCACTTGCAGGACAGCAGGCCCAGGCAAACATTAAGCAGGTTGTATACAAAAAAATAGGTACCACTCTGGTGGGAAGGTAATGGCACTCCATGCAGTCATGCTGGCCACATGACCTTAGAGGTGTCTACGGACAACGCCTGCTCTCCGGCTTAGAAATGGAGACAAGCACCAGAGTTCCAGAGACTTAATGTCAGGGGAAACCTTTACCATTACCTTACCTGTTTTGAAAGTGATAGTTATAGACACTTTGTTTTTGTGGCGGTCACAAACTACGAGGGATATCCGGAAAGTAAGGTTACAAGATTTTTTTTAAAAAAAACACAAAATTTTAATACAACTTCCATGGATTGTAACATAGGGATGACATTATTTTTCCCCATAATCACCATCCAGTTTAATACGTTTTGTCATCTGTGGGACGAGTTTTTGATGTCTGTGTCATAGAAGTTTCCCTCTGCCTTTTTCAGCCAGTTCGTCACTTTGATTTTCACCTTGTTGTCATCAGAAAAGTGTCTTCCACCAAAGTGTTCCTTTAATTTAGTGAACAGATGCGAGTCACTGGGTGGGAGATTGGGTTTGTGAGAAAGGGTGGCTTCAAACATCCCAACCAAATGAAGTCAAGAAGTCTCGTGTTGCATGAGTGATGTGCAGATGTGCATCATGAAGGAGACAAACTCCCGCCATCAGCATCCCATGTTTGTTTTGGATGGCTCTGCAAAGTTTCTCCGTGGTCTCACAATATTTGCAGCATTGATTGTTTCACATGTTTCCAAAAAATCAAGGAGCAGAACCCCATGGCCTTCATGCCCTTAACATTTAGATAGCGTATTACAGCACCAGCTTCGCACTTGGTGGGAAACGGAATGAGGACACTCCTCTCTAACCTTCACCACAACGCCAGTCAATGAGCTACTGACGACTGGCACTGCTCATTAACTTCCACCGGCTTCCTGCTACACAGCAGTGATACCAACTTCCCCCGTGAAAGTTCCCTGTGAGAGATACATGCCTTGTAACCTTACTTTCCGGATATCTCTCATACAGTGCAAACTTCACTCTTAGAGGAAAACAGAATGAGGACACTCATCTCTTACCTTCAAAGCAACTCCAGTCGATGAGCTACTGACTGGCATTGCTCGTTCACTTCTGATGGTTTGCCACTACATGGCAGTGATACCAACTTCCCCCGAGAAAATTCCCCACGAGAGCTACGTGCCTTGTAACCTTATTTTCCGGATATCCCTCGTACAGTGCAAACTTTGTTCTTAGAGGAAAACAGAATGAGGACGCTCATCTCTTACCTTCAGCGCAACTCCAGTCGATGAGCTACTGACGACTGGCACTGCTCGTTCACTTCTGATGGCTTGCCACTGCATGGCATTGATACCAACTTCCCCCAAGAAAATTCCCCGCAAGAGCTACGTGGCTTGCAACCTTATTTTCTGGATATCCCTCGTACAGTGCAAACTTTGCTCTTAGAGGAAAACAGAATGAGGACGCTCATCTCTTACCTTCAGTGCAACTCCAGTCGATGAGCTACTGACGACTGGCACTGCTCGTTCACTTCTGACAGTTTGCCACTGCACGGCAGTGATACCAACTTCCCCTGAGAAAATTCTCCACAAGAGCTACGTACTAACCTTACTTTCTGGATATCCCTCGTACACAAGAACTACATGCCTCGTAACCTTACTTTCCAGATAACCCTTGTAGTTTGAATTGGTTGAGACTCATATCTGATATTCATTGAAAAACTAGAGCAAAATGTGTTGCTGCAGGATGTCCTTCCCACAAAAACAAATGTTTTTGCAGTTTAATAAACTTTTTCCATGTTTTTGTGATGGAGCCCATTAGGAAATGACATTGATAATCCAGGGACGAAAGTCATGTTGTTGTAGGTTTTTCCGGGCTATATGGCCATGTTCTAGAGGCATTTTCTCCTGACGTTTTGCCTGCATC